TGTACTAAGATTAATATAGATTAAATAGAATTGTACTAAGAACAGTACATTTTGTGTCAAGTATATTACTATAGGATGAGAATTTTTATTGAATCTTTACCCTTTAGCCATCTTTATTAACTATACGGGTTTAATCACCGCGAGCACGTTTACAGCAAACGATTCTTTGGACACAATTTTACATGTTGTCTCCTGAACTCCTCTAACGTTATTAGCTTATTGGCACAAACCAACCACTTAACCTAAACCCAAAAAAAGAAAACTTACTGCGTTAAATTTTTGAGATTACATGGTTACCTAACTTTCTCTTCAATATAAAAATTTCATATTTCTAATATCAAGTCCATCAAATTCTAGTCCATTGACTATAACATGGCAAAAATATACATCGACAAAAAAATATGATACAGTCATACCTCCGGCAAAAAATCCACACCACACGGTCACTTTTTATGGTTGTAATGGAGTTTTTTAAAAAGCTGTGGATTTGTTGCTATCCAATAATGCATATTTTACTTATTGATAAACTTATTAAGCCAAAAATGAGTTTCACCGTTAAAGATGATTTTTCGATGAAATTCAGGCTTTTCTTCCAACTTCAGCAAAGCCCAACCTGCTCCAACTTACTCCAAAGTGCTTTTAAAGTTGCGACTACTGACTCAACTTTTTATAATTTCCATGGTACATTGGTATTGAAGTTGAAATGCGTACTAACTATTCGAAAATCAATATACTCCACCAATAGTAAACACTATCTATTAAATAAGTGCAATTTATGCGGTAAGTACCTGTGCCTGTTGTGAACACTTAAAAAATGCGGGTATGTAAAAAGTTACATAATGTTTTGGTTTTTAAGCTATATTATAGAGACATTATAAAAGATTTAAGAGTACCTATAGTTACTTAGTTAATGTTTAATTAATTAATAATCAATTATTTATTGTAATTCTTTTAATACTAATTCCGTTGATTAACCTTTCAATATTATTAGTTTTTGGCAACTGAAAGGAAAGGGTGTGTGCGGAAAAGGAAGATGGTGCTCGGAACTCCTACCACAAGTACATGTCATACACTAAGTAAACACAATTGCTTAATAGCCTATTAATATTTAACGACATCCCCGTTAGCAAAAGCAGAGCACGGTCTTTGGGGCTACGTTCCTCGTAAGCATCCCTCCCAGTACTCTTGAACCCGCCTGCAATATCTGACAAATATTATTAGGGGATTATTTGCCCATCTCGGTTGTTGATTTTAGAATCCTTCCCTGTGGGTTGCTTTACTTATCAATTTGCTATCTATAGTCTAATTAATTAAATTTAATATTCAAAATCATTATGAGATTAAACTTTTACTGAATATATTGTACTTAAAAAACGTGTATCAGTGTGATGGTTTTGTGTATTGACTACACTCACAGCGGAACGTATTCTATTTTGATGATATCTATGGAGACAACAAATATTCGTTTATACTCATTCGACGGCATTGAAAAATAAAGAGGCCCTCGATGTACACATCGAGTACATAGTCGCATTTCACGTCCACGTCGGCGGCGGCGGCCTCGAACATAATACAGTATCTCTCGTGCCGAATTCACCGGGACGAGGCTCAGGGCACAATTTATACACAGGCTCTCTTGTTCTTGATATATGTGTACGTATACCGCACAACGATAGAGTCCGGAGGAGCGAACGGGAGACCAAATCGTGTACAAGGGATCCCCGAATGCGCTACGGAACGTATATAAATTGAACACGGACCCCGACGTTATGGAGGCTTTATCTGGCATCGGATGTACGGTACAGCGACTTCCACGGTATCGAAACTGCATCGAGGTCGGCGAATAAATATGCAAAAGTCTGCCTCCCAAACCGCCTTTGAGTACTCATTGCTCATAAACGTTGGACAACACCGCCGGAGGGCGGCTTTGTTATACCACGAGTTTGACGGCCTCTGTTGATGTGCAGTAAAGTTTTCGTATCGTTTAACGATTCACTGAACATGTAGTATATAATACAGGGAAATATGGGTAGAGATTGAACAATGGAAGTCTCGCCATCGCCTACCCATGACAAGTTCAATGACAAATCCATCGCGTAGATCCTCGAAATTACACATCTAGAACCAACCTTCGAATTAACGTTCTATTTGGTAAAAACAATAGACATTGTTTTTTAAATCATCTCTAAATACTTCGATTTATTCTCCTTCTTCTATAAAATATCATTTTATAAAATGGTACGCTCCGTTATTTTCGATCAACCTGTTACGTCAATCCAATTTGCGCCATATTCGGAGAATTTGGTTGCCTGAACTGGAAACACGTCCACAAACGATTTGATGAGACTCGAATAAAAAACAACGAATCCAACACGATTGGGAATTTTAATTACAGTTAATCTCCCCCAAAATGGGTCGGACTTTCGAAATACAGCCTGTTTGGACTATTTTATGTTCTAACCAAAAAACGCGTTTATCGTCTTTCTAGCGGAAATAAAACGATATTTTACCTGTTTTGTGTCCGAAACGGTAATTGTCGAAAAAAAGCTATTAGGGAACTAAGTACCATTTGAAACTGATGGACGAAATGGATGTTTTTAAGGATAACTTTTTAAAATTAACTTTTTAAAGTTAACTTTTTAATAATGAACACTACTAATTGTAAGTTAATGAGTAATCCGACTGCAAAATAATTACCGCTAGCTAATAAAATCCACTTATCTCAAGATCTAATAAAACCGCCCTCATAAATTAGAGGAAGAGATAAAAGGATCCACGATAATTTCGAAACACGCCGCAGAAGAGCTACCCCCCAATAAATTCTGTAATTAAAAAATAACATGATATTCCTCCAGTTTCGCGAGGCAACTATAAATTTCACGTTTGATTCCTCTTGTTCCCGCTTCGTCGGTAATTGAATTTCGATTCCAATGAATTTTAATTAATTCCCAGCTAGGGGACTCGGGCATTTCTAGTGTTCTGCGTTTATTTCTAACGCCACTCCCGCGTAAGTTATGACGAAGAAAGGTTTCCGAATGGGATCGGACGCACGAGATGACTATTTTTAGGGCAGTCAGTGCACCATGTGTTTATAAATATACACACGACTGGTGGCCATGAAACTTTGCCCTCAAAACAATTCCATTTACATCGTCTAGACCGAATTCTGTACCTCTCCTTTCCAAAAGCGCATGTGTTTACAAACCTACATCCGGTAAAACGATATATTGTACTTAGCACGTTACATATTAACCGGTTATATTCAAACATTCAAAATATCCAGAATTCAATTAAGAACCACTTAACTATCGCGTTTGTATATTGAAATTAGCCAGATTCATTTAAATATGCAAATCGAGTTAATTTTGGGAAAATGGAATAGGAAATGGAGGTTAAATAGTCACTATAGGTTAATTTTAACCTTACAAAAATTTTTTACCTAGAAAAATAAAAATGATATAAGGCATAAAGGGATATAACGGGGATTTTCATATATTAAAGAAGTTGGGTTAAATTTTAGTGGGCGTCCAATTTCGGCTGAATGTTTTATTCCAGAACGAAATACTATCCGTCGGATCCGAGTTTTAATTAACAGGATATTGCATTGAAAGAGTCGACAAAGCCGTTACTTCTCGATAGAGGCGCGCGACGATTGTTAAATTGAATTTCCACTTCTTTCGTACAGACGTTTTCGAAGACTTTTTTCGATTAAGGAAGCTTTCCCTCAAATAACTCAACTATAAAGCTAAATTCGATTAGAATGTTGTTATTTTTTGTTGAGCGTTATGTGTCGCAGTAAATTTGCAAATTTATATCAAAATGTCATAATAAGCTAATGGCTTTCCCGAATCACTGCGTATTCGACACATAATTACAAGTCATATCTCGAGTACGTTTCGACGTATTGACATGTTATTAAGTTGTGTAGGCAAGTGCATAATATGTGACCAGTAGAACCCGACCATTCCCCATCTGGTGTTTGCAAACTGTCGCAAGCCAAAAGTCAAGTCCATTGCGATCATCAACTCACACACATTATGTCAGTGAATATTAACTGCGACGTTCTCGAACAGGAACTAAACTTTCCTAATTTCCCAACAGTATTAAATCGAATATTGGAGTCCTGTCGCCCGGCAGACAACAACGAAGGGGGCGGCCGATGGACTCGGATGAAGCAAGTTTCGTGAGAAGGAAAACGTTACTAGGGCACCGGGACAGGAGGAAGGACTCGAACTTGGAATACATCGCCCGTCCCTGCTACCCCCGTCTCTCCAAACCGAGAATTAAACTTTCCACTTTGACAATTCTAGCAACAGGCTGTCCAGCACACTTGTCCGAACACCAATAACTAAACTAGACGAATGGCCCGCTACTTCGCCAACTCGTCACCCTGCCGGAAACAGGACCCACTGACACATCTCTCCAATTTTCCTTCGCTTGCGTGCCACTTCTGAAGATGTCTGCTTTCCTGAAGGTTCCTGTCTAATAAATCTTTCTAACCGAGTTAAGGAAATGGTACTGCAAACAATCCGTTTAATATAAACTTAAATTGACATTAAATCCCATTTTTTTAAAGTTAAAAAGAAACTTTTTAAATTCATACGAATTTATTTTTGCTTTATTTCACACTTTTCAAATTTTCTTTCATTCGCGTGCAACTTCTAAAGATGTCCACTGCTTTGCAAGATCCTGTCCAATAAATCTTACCGGCCGAGTTAAGGAAATAGCGTTGCGAACAAGCTATCTGATATAAAGCTGAACGAGCACTGAATATTTGCATCCCATTGTCTGGGTGCATATCTAAATCATATCGAAGTAAGTGGAGCATCGTGATAAAAAGAAATATTTGAAAGCCACTTTAACCTTCATCCAACATTCATAACACACCGTTCAAGGAACTTAATTGTTTGATAAAAAGATTATTTGTTTTAATTGTTTGATTAAAAAGGAGTTTAATTTGGTGTTTAAAAAAATGATTAGATTATTTATTATCAATCGCCACTCACTCACAGACGTAAATCTAAATCTGTAGTATAAAACAGCAAAATAATTGCGGTTTGTCTTAAATTAATTACGATGTTGTTAATATACATGTTAGTCATAATTACGTTTGCGTCTGCTAGGCGTCCACGTACTGGTATGGTTAAATTATATCAAAGAAAATTATGATATTGGAAAATATAATTTTAGGTCCATGGCCAAGCGATAGCCACTGTGAAGGTAAAAACGATTACTTTTACTTGGATCCGGCAGACTCGTGCTCATGTTGGTGTATAAAAGAAAAACTATTTTGTCCAGAGTGTTTTGATCCAACAACTAATGGTAAGTTAAAATCAAATAATTTCAAACGATTTACTTAAATTGTCGTAGATGCGATTCCTTATTGTAAGCATCAAGAAGATCATCAAATAGATCCAAACGATCCATGTTCGTGTTGGTGTATTAATGAGGAAATGGTTTGTAATGGTTGTACCACTGAAGAGCCAACAAGTAAGATAGAAAATTTGGTGGTTTTTTTAGTAACAAATTTATTTTTGAAGCTACTCTTTGCTCAACTGATTATCCCATCGATCCAACAAATCCATGTTCTTGTTTCTGTGTAGATGGGATATTGGCATGTCCAACATGTCCACCAGAAACAACTACTAATGGTTGGTGGTTTTAATACTTGTAATATAAATTTTTTGTAATAAAACTTATTAATTCCTAGATAATATTTGTGAAGGAAAAGAGGATGGTCCATTAGATCCAAATGACCCATGTTCCTGTTGGTGCCTTTCCGGTTGGCTTGCATGCCCAGGCTGTACGACAACAGAAACAACCACAAGTGGCAAGAAATTTTATACCCTCAATATACCTTTGGTACTATAATAATGATTATTTCTGTTATTAGATAATATTTGTGAAGGAAAAGAGAATGGTCCATTAGATCCAAATAACCCATGTTCATGTGTATGCCTCGATGGGTGGCTTGCTTGCCCAGATTGTCCAACAGAAACTACAACATCCGGTAAGTGGGTTTACCACCATATAAAACTGTTACAATAAAAATTTTCAAATTGTCAGAAAATATTTGTGAAGGAAAAGAAGATGGTCCTATAGATCCAAATGACCCATCTTCATGTTGGTGCCTTTCCGGTTGGGTTGCATGCCCAGCGGATACCACAACAGAAACAACCACAAATGGCAAGAAATTTTATACCCTAAATATATAATATATTTGGTACAATAATAATGATCATTTTTATTATTAGATAATATTTGCGAAGGAAAAGAAGATGGTCCGTTAGTTCCAAGTGACTCATGCTCATGTATGTGTCTTGGCGGATGGCTTGTATGCCCCACATGTGGAACTGGATCACCAATTACTGAAGAAAGCATTTTTGTTAAAGCCAATAATTAAAAAAATATAATTAATAAATCATTAATGCAAATTGTTGAAACAATTTCGATTCGACTCTATTTTATTTAATTAGCTTCCCTTGCTTTAATTACCTGAAGAAAGTGAAAATGATCTATTAGCAAAGATTACCTTAATACCTAATCATTATAATTAAAAGTTTCTTCGGCGATCTTTCTAATGTGACATGATAAGTAATTATTGAAAGCGAAAGTTTGGTTAAATAAATAAATATAAAAAAAAACCGGTGAATGAACTTTTCTTTAACGTTTTGCTTAAATGATCTTCTTTGTATATAAAACATTTTATAAATTTCAACAAACATGTGTTGCCCATAAGATATCTTCATAAACAGTAATTTAATAGTTGTTGCTTTCCATATGTAGCAACTATGCATAATAAATAAAAAGAAACATCGGAAATTTCTCCATGTCTGCCGTCCTAATATTTCCGCATGGTGCGTCCACTTCAACCGTGACAACCTCTCATGCTACGCATACTATATACAATCTCTTTGTTTCAAATAAAATCCACAACACAACCTGAGTTAATTTCAAATATAAAATCTTAAATGACAAAAATTAAAATAATTTATCCCCCGATAAAACAAGTTAAAAGTTACTCACCTGTGGCGAATACATGGAGTAGAAGAACACATAGGGTAGCAGTAGCAGCAACGTTTCCAAACATTATTTCCTCACAATTTCGCATCCGCGCACATTAGCCCTCACAAAATGAGCAAAGTCCCTTTCGTCTCTATCCAACTTCGGTAATTGCGTCCGCGTGTTCCGTTCGGTTCAGTTAATCGCGTACTGGCCGTTAGACTGGCTTTGACACTGTGGCGTCGCGACGCTCAAACAAACTTTCTGACGCGAGTACGGAATAACTGCGAGAAGAACGGCTTCGAAAGAGGAACGGACCTCCTAAACTGTGGGACGCCGAAGCGGTACTGACCGCGCCACTGCGATAAGCGAGACGCGCGGACCGATTTATTCTGGCAAAGAGAGACGCGCGTCGCGACGCCAACGACGAAGGGTTCAGTTCGTAGTGTTGCGTTGAGATTTTCTACTGCGAATCTCTGCTAATTGAAAGCAGTGAGTTTGTTATTAAACTTGTTTGTCACTGCAAATAGGAGTCAAAAATATCTCAAAAAAAACTTTAGTTAAAGTTAGCGACTTAAAAATTATCTTGAAGTTGTGTGTGAAGTTCTGCGACGTTAGATCTCAATTTTTATAGTATTTTGATCATAACAAGAGAAAGTCGCAACCGATTTGAATAAACAATATCTTATTCAAAAGCTCAATCCTTGGCCAATACGTTAATGGTGAAATGTCCAATTGGAAATCTTTTTCAAATTTCCCTAAAACGCAAAAATATTACTAGCATATTTATGTAAGAAGCGTATATTAAAGTGACTTACACTGCTGTTTAAAAAATCAAAAGAAAGAGGAGAAAGTATAAGATCTATCATGCTAATTGAAATTATACAGCAAAGAGACAATTTTTTATAGATGGAATTACATTTCTGCACGCTAAAGACATCAAAATTATATCTTCAGGCAACCTGATAATCACAATCCGAGGTAAATATGACACAATCATAACTCAACGAATGCAGAAAGCCCTAGTACTTACCAGCACTTGGTGCAGAAGCAATTGGCTCAGCATCAATCCAAACAAAATCGAAATAGTCCTTTTCACTTGGAGAAGGAAGCCACAATTGAGAGCAGCCTCCATTGAAAGTAGCATTTTCAACCTCAAAACAGAAATTAAATACCTAGGGGTGAAACCAGACAGTAAATTAAATTGGAACTCCCACATAGACAAGGTGAGGAAAAAGGCCATTATGGCTAACCAGATCTGCCGCAGGCTCCTTGGAAGTAACTGGGATCCTAAACCACGAATGGCGCAACGTAGCAATAATCATACCCATGGTCGCCTATGCCTCACTGGTCTGGTGGCCAAAAGCAAATCATAAGGCAGCACAACAACCGCTGGCACAAATTCAGAGGTTAGCATGTCTTAATATAACGAGTGCAATGAGATCTTGTCCGACGGCTGCTCTTGAAGCCCTAGTCGGTCTCACACCACTTCATTTATATATACAACAGGAGGCAGCTTATGCATTAATTTATCATCAAATGTATTGAAAGTGTCAAACTGAACCTGAGACCATTCACTAAAACAAATTTCTGTCATCTAGAGTCTAGCTTGACCCAAATCTCTTTATAATGTCATTCCGTTTATATTCGATGTTCTGAAAACAACCAAATCTGGACTGATATCCTTGCATATTTAAGTGAACCTGGTAGGTTGTTCCTTAAAACTTGCCATCTTAAGAGTTCTTACGACTGAAGGATTCGTCAGACATATTTACTCAAGAACCTTTAGATTTCTCCATCCAAACGCAGTGTTTCGAGTCGAAACTTAATTGTACAAATATCGACAAACATAAGGATTAGCTAGATGGCGAAAAACCTATTAATCGATTCAAAATTTGGCGCTAAAAATTATTTGATGAAACGCAGAAGAAAGCGGTTTGAAGACGGTTAATGCCAATTGAAGACCTTATTAATATGGTATATGATATTAACTTACTATCCGTGCAAAACGTCAAGGCCCCTCACTTTAGAGATCGATATCTTCGTAACCGCTCGATGGAAAAAATTGCGGTAAAGTTTATTGTAATCAGTGAACATTTCTGCGTATTAGATATTAATTTGGAAATTTTCGGGTCCGCGGTTTTTCTTTTATCGCGAGTTAAGTGAAAAAAGTACCTGATTTTGAGAGTGCCAGCAACTTTGTCTACTTTGCGATTTTTTTCTCCAAAACTATTTGACGAAAATAGTTCAAATTTGAACTGGTGGTAAATCGGTGTGTTCTTAATGTGGGGCATGTTTTATTTTTTCGATATTCCATATAGTTTCGCGGAAAATCGCGGTTTAGTAGGATGCGGTTATTTCGAAAACGACCTGACGGATTTTAACGCAGTTTTACCAAAATATGTCAAATAATGTCGGTTATAGGATTCCATTATCAGTTTTTCAAAATTAGGGCTCCCTAATTTTTTAAAAGCCATTTAATGGAATTACAAATTGAAGAGAAACAGAAATAAGCAATGCGGCGAGAGGGGGTTCCGTCCAATCGGAACAGATGGTGCGTTCCAGACAGTACGTCGCGCCTTTATCTTACCTACATAAAGAAATAAGGCGCGACGTCCTATCTGGGACGTACCATCTGTTTCGATTGGACGGAACCCCGTCACCCCGCAGAGCTTATTTCTGTTTCTCTTTAATTTGTAATTCCATTAAATCGCTCTTAAAAAATTAGGGAGCTCTAATTTTGAAAAACTGATAACGGAATCCGACAACCGACATTATTTGACATATTTTGATCAAATCCGCGAGGAAAGCCACCCAGCCATTTTCGACATAACGGACGTTTTCGCGAAACTGTATGGAATATCGAAAAAAATAAAATATGCCACTCATTAAGAACACATCACTTTTTTCGTATGAGGTTTTCGAGTAAAAAAATTGAAAAGTTGACAAAGTTTCTGGTACCGTAAAAAATCGAGTACTTTTTTCATTTAATTCGCGATAAAAAGAAAACCGTGGATCTGAAAATTTTCAAATTAACATATGCTACGTAGAAATGTTCAGTGATTACAACAAACTTTCTCGCAATTTTTTTTATCGAGCGGTTGCGAAGATATCGATCTCTAAAGTGAGGGGTTATTACCCCTTGCTCAATGTTCTTTAGGTATTCATTCTGCGATGGAAATCTTCCTTCTGGTGTCATAAAATACTCTGCAAAAGATCTGTGAACGTATTTCTTGATGCCAAGGTCCTGTCCAATTACTATAAATATTGATGTATTTGTTTTTAATTTTAATTATTATTTTATTTAATTATTTTAATCTTTTGCGATGATTACCATTTCAAAAGAAAACTAACCCTAAGTCAACCTTCCTTCACGGTATAATTAATATTTGTAAACAAAACTTACCTTACCTAACATTCCTTCACGGTATAATTGACATTACAAAAGAAAACTTCACGGTATAATTGGCATTGCTAAAGAAAACTTCACGGTATAATTAATATTTGTAAACAAAACTTACCTTACCTAACATTCCTTCACGGTATAATTGACATTACAAAAGAAAACTTCACGGTATAATTGGCATTGCTAAAGAAACCTTCACGGTATAATTAATGTTTGTAAACAAAACTTACCTTCCCTAACATTCGTTCACGGTTCTTAGCTCTTTAAAAAATGTTTTAATATGTAGGGCGTTCCATTAAAAAAAAACATAGTTGAACCATTTTCCGGAAAAACTAAAAGTGATAAACAATTTTCTGTACTAAAATATTTGGACTAACAAAAAATTTTAATCGCATTGTTTTGACTCATGACGACATCTGGAACCGTATTCAAATTAGACAGGAGCGGGTTACTTTTGAAGCGGACCGTATATGTCATTATTTTACCAACATAAAAAATAAAGACGCGACGTCCAGTCTATGTAGAACACATACCAGCACCATCTTTTCCGATTTCACGAAACCAGCTCTCCCCATATTGCGTATTTCTGTTTCTTTTCAATTTATAACTCGCGTACATTGCTCTAAAAAAAATTAGAGAGACAAAACTTAACGGGATTTTCGACATACGCAATCATTTAACTTAAAAATCGCGTTGAAATCCACCCAGCCCTTTTCGATATAACGGGATCCTATTAAACCGGTATATTCCACGGAATACCGTAAAAATAAAATAGACCCCTCATTAAGCAAATATTAAATTACAACCTGTTCAGAATTGAAATTTTTTTGTCAGACAGGTTTAAAAAAAAAAATCGCAAAGTGGACAAAGCACCCTCAAAAGTCGATAGCAGTTTAATGCGACGAAACTGAAAATTGGATATCTCGTTAATGCCCTAAATTTATAATTTATTTACTGTTTTACAAAGCGCTGCAACTGGTTTTAAATGAAAAAGTAGCAATGGATACAACTGAGTATTACCCTTAACAGAAAAAGTATCTTCAAAAGATTCAAACATACATAACAATGTCAGTATATAAAAAATTTATTTTTATTTTTGGTATGCAACTTATATCATAATTGAAATTTCTGAATTTGCTTAATTTCTAAACATTCTAGAAACATCCATAAAATTCTAGATTTTATAAAAATGATATTCTAGAATATTCCATCGCAAAAGCTCCTAATTTTCATATTTCTAGAAAGTTCTAGAATATTTTAGAATATTCCAGAATTTTCTGTAACGTTCTAGAAATAATTAAAACTATCTTCATAATTAACCAAAATTGCTTGTTACTTGTTGGACAATTAACCCCCTACCAAAATATAACAATATTTTTTTATGCCCCAAAAAAAAATATTTTTCTAGAACTTTCTACCCCCGAACGTTCTGGCGGCGCTTCCGTACTATATAAAGTGAATTCGCCCGAGCGCCGCTTGTCATAAACAGTTCAGCGTTCGACGAATACACATCTAAATGTGAAAATAAGTGCCAACTGTAAACATCACCATATCAATTGGTATTTACCAACATCCTATCATCATCAACATCAAGTGGTGATTTTCATTTTTAACCCGAAACGATGGAGACAAAAATCGAAGAACTCAGCAAAAGATTCAAAACTTCTGTATCTGTCCAAGAAGAATCCAAAATCGTGCCAAAACAAGAAATTCTTGAAGTCAATTTAGAAGATATTTCTGAATTCAATAATAATTTGTGGATACAAATTCCTGAAGAAGAATTACACACGAGTATAAACACTTTAATAATGGATTATTTAACCACCGAAGGATTTTTGGGAGCAGCCGAAAAACTCGAAGAATCCGGCGTACTTCACAACACCGGAAGCAATCAATTGATTAAACGAATCACTATCGTCGATGCCATCGTTAACGGCAGAAGCCATGACGCATTGGAAGCAATAAATTTCGCATATCCTCATCTATTGGAAAATGATCAATATCTACATTTTCATTTACAACAACTCCACTTAATTGAACTGATACGCAAGGACAAACTAGAAGAGGCTTTAGAATTTGCACAGAACCATTTGATTAGAGCGGTAGAGCAAAATCCGTTCATAATGAACGAACTGGAGAGAACCATGGCTTTGTTCGCTTTCAACGATCCCGTACACAGTCCGTTTGGCGATTTGATGCAACCACAATATAGGCAGAACATTGCGAACGAAGCTAATACTGCCATGTTGAATCAAAATTAATTAATCCTTTGTAATCAAAATTGATATGATGGTATAGAGGTTATTTTACTTTTGGGTTTCGCCACATTATATCGAACAATAGAGGAAGTATTACTGGAATGAATGTGTACATCTACAGTTTTAGAATAAACTGTAAAAAATTACAAAGTAATTAATTGACAGCTACTTAATTATTATTAAATTGATAATCGTGTATTGTCAAAAAAAATGGAAGAATATTTCTTCAGTGAATGTAAATATTCTCGCAGATCAATGCAATGTTAGATTTTCAGGGAAATAAATGTCGATATTTTTACAATGTTTATTGTATATTTAGTATAAAGTATTGTGTAACGAAAAACAATAAAAAAATGTGATAATAATACTACTTATAATCAACTACTACTGGTACCTATAAATTTATGTAATTATGTAAATTTAATAATAAAGTTACAATTCTGAAGAAATTCGGAAAACTGTTTTATATATTAAAGTAAACTTTTGGGATATTCAATAAATTTTATTGATACTACTCCAGCTGTTTTTTAATATGATATAAAAATCATAACCATCTTTCATACTCAGTACTTAATGGTTAGTAAATGTTTGTTACTAAGAATGCCATTCAACATATCTTTGAGCTATGCTTAGACGATTGTTAAATAGATTTATAAAGCAATACTCCGAACCTGTTATTGCCTTTAAAGGATTATTTTATACTACCAAGGAATTTGTTATGCTTTAGGTTGTGCCAACAAGTGAAGCATAACTTTTAAAATTTTTGACAAGAAACTAAAAGAAACTAACAGAAAAGACAGAAGAAGAAATAATTAAGGAAATATTATTCCTGCACTATTGCAGGAGAATGCTGAAATCTGGTGGACTGTAGATGGTAACTACGACTTCCTGGTCTCATTAGGGAGACAGCCCATAAATTCTTACTCTAAACGCACGTTTTGACAGAACGGGTTGTTTACACTTAATAATTGAACAATTATTCAATTATTCCATCATTTGCAGAACTATCGAAGGTAATCGTAGCAGGAAGATGACATGCTGGGGATACATATCTTTGCCTCATTGCATCTGGTCAATGATATATCTGCGTTACAGACAAAAATAGTCCGTATTATTCTTAGCACGAATAATTCGTCCTCCTAACAAGATGAAGAATTCCTCTGGAAGTATTTTTCTTCTCTCTTACACATAATGATGCGAGATTGTTACACATAGTGTAAAACACGGAGTTATCAATATCATCCAAATGTAAGCTGCTGATGGAGGTATGAAAGAGCTCTATAACTGTGGCAGGAGCGGTTGGAAAAGTCAAGTGAAAGCGCTTAATGATTGTATAACACTACATATCGCTACATATCTTCATAGGTGATGTTGTCATGAAGAGAGGAATCAGGTTAGCAACTACATTCGCAGATCTGACAAAACAAGAGGAAAGCGGAAGATGGATACAGTGATATAAATTAACATTCTTAGGTGTATCTAAATTTGCGCAAGGCAAAATTGTATCCTGGGATCGCCGTGTGTTGCTGCCGCGCTATGATTATCGTATTTATTCCCGGGCATTTTTATACATATAACTGACGTACTTACTATAATGTGTACATAAACTAGGCAGTATATGCATTTGCTAACAGATGTTAGTAAAAGTTATAAAAAAGAAAATTTACGGTATACTTTTTTTAATGGAAGAAATTGCATGTGATGCAAGTAGTAAGTAAGTATAGTAGTAACCATTTTTTGGGTTGGGTTGGGTTTCGTAACCTTTAACTGAGCGTCATTAGTAATAATTGTATACATCAACTAGTAAAAGGTTTACATTTCGTATTTTATATACACATTAACTAGATAAATTAGTTAATGTATGTGTCGCAGGCAAATGGTTGTTTCAGGTAAATAGCTTTTTCCTAGTCAGATACTATCTGCCTAGGTAAATAGTTTTATTCCATTTATTTCAGTCTAAATTCTGCTTGCCTAGGCAAATAGCATATGGCTAAAATATTTTCAGGCAAATAGCTTTTTAAACCAACCCAACCCTAGGAATGTTTTATTTCTTTAAGAGAGACCTACACGTCACTGTTTTCTGGGCAAGGGATGTCAAAATGCCAGCCTTCGAAATTTCAGTGCAGTACAAAAAGGTTTACTTGTTTCAAAAATAAAATGATGTGCAACAGTAGATGCCATTCCAGCAACAATTGTCAGAACAAGTAAATTTTTGTATTTAGTATTAAGTCTTCAAGAAATAAATCGTTTATTTGTATTTTTGTTAAACTTAATAAAAGTAAATGAAACTGTTATGCATTTTTTGAAAATTATACGCAAATAATTTGATTTGTTTGACACTCATTAGTGACTTTAATTTAAGAAAAGTAGGTTGATAACGATAGGAACTACTTTATTTTATTGTGAACAGGTACCTATTCTATATTGCATTGTTGTATTGAAAAAATGGTATTTCCCTAAAATAGGCATAGAGAGATACTATTTGTCTTGTCCAATAGTATTTGCCTAGACATTTAATGATAAAACTGTAACGAACTACTGTTTGCCTAGGCAGACAGTATCTGACTAGGAAAAAGCTATTTACCTGAAAAAACCATTTGCCTGCGACGTATGCATTGACTAGACAATGTGTACATTCACGGAATGAATACTTTAACTGTAACAAATGCATTTTGATCCGTTGAAATAAAATAAATAAATAAGAAAAGGGCAAACAACTTGAGACTGCATTGATTTACAAGACTGCAATATATGAAAAACTTTCTCTTAAAACAAACAAAACCTTCCAACACTTTCTTGGCACCTAGGGAAGGACATTGGACTTATAAGATCGTGGAAATTTAATAAATCAAAAAAAAATCGTTTCTAACGAAACTCATAATGTCCTTTGAACATGATTTCATTAATCATCAATTAAATTATTCAGCGTCATGTAAATTACACAATCTTAAGTGATTACAAGTGCAACTTCAACAAGTTTTCATTAAATATTAACTACATATTATCTTTCTTCATAAATATACTAACTAATAACTTTTACAAACAATTTAACTATTTATTACGAATATTTTAGAAACAACAAAAGAAACTACATCTAAAGTTTGTTTTTCATATATTTATTGAATTACTTAAAAATAAAAAATAAAAGAAACATAAATATTATTTATAAAAATAACACAATCGGCATAATCAAAGAAATTAAAAAAAATATATACTCTGAAATTATAGAAAGTACTGGTCCATAATCAAAAATTGATTCATTTATTAATTTGGTTTCTCAATAATCCTAAAAAGAGGTTTCATTAAATGTATGCCATAATCTATAGATGGATAATTACCTGTTCTTGATCTTGTTATCCTTATATTTTCACTAGGATCATCATTTACAACTACAATTTTTTTTACTTTCTTAGTAACTTTTTTACGAGATTGTTTCTTAGTCAACATTTTTAATTGTTCCTCTTCGAAACGTTGTCTTTCTAACATTTTTGTGTACACAGCCATCATTATAGGTGTATATCCAGGGATATTATTAGATCTAAATAAATGTAAAGAAAGTTTAGAAAACAAAATAATCGCAATATTGGAACTTACTCGAATTCACAGTATCTCGGCGATGATCCAGATTGCAACCTCTCCATAAATTTGTTATAAACCTCAACCATAGCGTATGTAGGATTAAGTTCGTCTAAATCAATATCTTGTAAATTCAAAACTGCGTCACTAGATTCGGTAATTGTTCGATAACGATGTTTTCCTTGTCTCAGAATCATTTCAGGATCCATGAGTACTTTCGACCAACTTAAATTAGCAATTTCTTTGCCTTTTCGTCGCCGTTTTGGTTTTAATGGTAAATTTGAAGGTTTCGTTGACAAAGGAATTCGGTTTAATTTGTAACTTAATTTATGTTTCACTCCAAGTATTTGTCTTTTCTTTAGGTTTGCCAAACTTACTTGGTTATTATAACCATAACTTTCCAAGGCACTTTTAAAAATACCTCTACAATAAGAGTAGTCAGGTTCAGTATTAAAATCTAATTGAACCAAGTATTTAAAATAGTCATAAATAAACTGTGGATATGTAGTCAAAAAACAAGATTCTAAAAATTTGTGAAGATCAGATAAACTTCTTTGTTTCATTTTATGGACGATTACAGGGTCTTCGATTTCGTTCATCCAGGGTAAAGTCGATGTTAACCAATAGACAATGTTATAACCTAAGGATTCTAAATCTGAACGTCTAACTTGTACGCCATTATGAGCATCTAAGCTACAAAATAATAGTGTTCCAGCGTGAGCTTTTCTCTGATCACAAGAAACGTTTTTATGTCGACCATCGGGTTGAAGATATTTCGACACTAAACCCAGATCCAATAAATAAACTTGATTATTATTCACAATTTCATATAAATTTTCTGTTTCATCATCAATTTCCGCCGATCTTAAAAAATGAGTTCGATTTACTTGCTTCTTTCTAAGAGATATTGCTCCAGCCTTTCGTCTTTTATATCCCGTGATATGAGGATATTTAATCATAATATTTGTTGCTTTTATATCACCATGAATATATCCATTTGCATGTATATACTCGATCACATTTAACAATTCTAACGCCACAATCAATACAGTATTAAAATTAAACGATTTATTCGTATTAAAAATATCCTCTAAATTCTTATCAAATCGTGGAAGTATTAAAAAACGTAATTTCGACCCTCTAACCATATGCGAACCGGATGCTACGTAATGAGGCATTCCCAATTTTCGCAATCCCGTCGTTTTTTTGTACTCATTAATATATTCTTCTTTGGCGATACGTATATAACAATTAATTTCTACAAAAAGTGGCCCGCTGGAATGCGTTTCAACCTTGGCCACGTATTTACAATTATCGTTTACGTCATTTTTTATATCATCCGACGCTAGAAATATTGCACCGAAACCCCCTATACCAACGGTTCTTCCTAACTTCCATTGCTTACCGGTTATATCGGTTAATATTTGACCAGTTCGGATGTCGATTGTTGATGGTGGTGTTGTATTTGACGATTTCTTTTTAGGACGAATATCTTCACTAGATGGTGTTGCTCGTTTAGGCATTTTCGCCGAAACCATACGAAAATTTGTTTATGGTGAATTTTAACCTATAAACAAAAATAATTGTAATTAAGTATAGAAAGAAATGTATGCTTAATAAGCATTCCTTTGTATTGAAAATGAGGTTGGAAATTATTGATTTTGCATGATAATGTAAAATTAGGGCATTGCGCTAAATGGATGGCTTAGATACTCTAGGCCAAACTGACAAGAATTATTTGCACATCAGTTTGCGTTGTGGGGATTTTACTAACGTAAGGACCTTGCAAATTTTCAAAAATAAGTTCTGCCGTAATCATCCAAAAGAATGAGACTGGTAGTCCAAATTCTGCAATGGTATCATTGCTCTAAAAGATCAAATGATACACAAGAACCATTTAGTAATATCAATTTTTATTGATTTTGGGTAATAGAGAGAACCAGAAATAAGAGTAACATAATCACAAAAACGAATACCAATGTGCATTACTATTTGAATTCAAAGGCACAGTTAAATCATTCTTCTTCCTTGAAAACTACGACTGAGTATTCGGTGATATTGGGCACAACATTGGCAGAAATTCAAAAGTAGGCATCAAGCGGCAGCTTTAATTCAACTTGCGCGATTTAATTATTTCAGAACTTGGATTCATTTAACATAAATTAGAATACCTCTCGTATCTGTGACAAAATCAAAGAACCCTTTCCGATAAAGCACATCTTCTGTTTCTATTTCTGCATTATTTTATACTCATAAAGCTTTATATAAATCGTGCAAAACTTTTATTTTCGAGATCTACCTAAATCCACAAGGCCTGTTAAGAGTTAAAAACTTACACTTTGACGAAGTCTAAGCAATGATGAGTCTTAAGCGGCCCTTACACGATCAATAATATTGACAATACCTTCGCATATTGACCGTGTAAGGTGAAAAATTTTATTGACGGTAAATATTGATGGAGTATTGATAAAAATCCGGATTTTCTGGCATCAATACTGAAAATGGGAGGGGATATTTTAGCCAAGATGATTTAAAAACAGGTTTAATTCTTATTTTCTACATAACACTCAGTTTAGTTCAAGTAGCGCGTCTATGAAGAAGTGGTGAAAATGACCGACCCATTAACTGACATTGTTGACGTTCAACACGATGGAAACAGTGCTGGTTCATCCAGTTCCCATAATGATAAACAACATGCTCTTCGTAATTTCATCGAGCAATACGAACTATCTCCATGTAGTCTTGTAGAACATATATAAAGGTTTCACAGGTTTCTATTACAGCTTTGCTGATAGTTGTTGGAGACATTATGACAGAAAATTTCAAGTCTTTAAAATTTCTTCCTGTGGCCAAGTACCTCAGGGTTAACGCTAACCTTTTCCTAACACTTATACTTCCTCTCACATTGCTATCCTGTCTTTCCAAAAATGGAACAGTTTGTTAAAGGTACTTTCATCCATTCGAAAGTAGTTCTTGAAATCATCAACATCGCAGAAACTGATTTCTTTCAACAGTACTAGATGAGAATATTCATCTCTCTTCTTCAACCATACATTCATCCTGTGTTTGCGTTTCACTGGACGAGTAGTTCCAAGCGCCAAAATAATAGCTACACAAGCTTTTGTACGATTATCCATATTTGGAAGGAAAAAACCGGCAAATAACTGAGTAAACTTACGTAGATTCACTCGTAATTGGTAACTTATTGAGCAAACTTACTGACAAAAGTATTAACAATAATATTGATTATGTAAGATAACGTCTCAATTGTGACTGGTACTACGAGGATTGATCTGCTTTACACCTTTACAAATTGTAATAGATACATAAAAAAGTGTAACAGATTCTAGAAAGCTGTAATAAATTAAGGGTAGTAATATTTTTTGTGAATAGATGGCGTTCTTGGGACCACTAACCAGGGTAATACCCCGTCATGTTAAATAAGGAAGATCAAAAAACTGAAATTAAACAGTGTTTCAGGATACAACTAAGGCAAAATTTAATAATTTTGAATTAAAGATTAAGATAAAGATACCGTAAAGAAGAAGTTAACCTTAAATGTTATTAAAACATATTTTAAATTTCGTAGCAACAAGTTGTAATCTAAAAGTAGAGTTGTGTAGGTTTCTAAATAGAGATTTTCTGGCGAGTGTTAAAGAAGGCCTGGAAGATGGCCGAATATCCAAAATCAATGAAACATGCTTCACTACTCATAACTAGACCAACGAAAAGATCATTGAAAAGATCTGTCTAATTACACACCCTTTTGTCTTGGTAGCGACGTGTATGCGATCCATTATGACCAAAACAATCATTTATTTAGTCTATTCTATCAGCCGATCATGTTCCAGTGAGTCACATAACCAAGACATAACTTAACGTAAAATGTAACATTACAATGACGGTAATATTCAGGAAAAAGTAAACACGAATGATATCCCTGAAAAAATTCAAAAGCGCTGGAGATTACGAAGGAAGAGATTATTGAAGAGAATTGACATGTTAAATCAAAGAAAAAGAGTATCCCAAACAAAGCACTGAAAATGTTTCCCAAAAACGTAAGGTTGCAAATCTCGAAGATAGTAGATAAACAGCACCTTACAATCACAAATCGTAGAAAAGAATGTCGAAAATTATTGAAAGAATTCTGCTGGAGCGACTGAAGTAAGAAGCAGAACAGAAAGGATTACTACGGGGAACGTAAATGAGTTGTGCAGCTCATTACCACGTTGGAACTTACCCAAAAGAAAATCTTTTACAACAATCATATTTAGTACACAGCCCGTATTTGCTTATATGACCCATACACCTTATTCATCACATTCTCCCGATTCTCCCTACAAATCTGAACTTGATCGAGCATACGTGGGATAAAGTAGACACAAGTAGGCAGAAAATAATAATTTCTAATAATAATATACAGAGTGTTTATGTAAGTCGTGGCATAATTTTAATCACAAATACTAGAGTCAAAATGATGACGATTCATGTAAAAAATTTTGGTCTAAACCCATAAATGGCTAAGATATAGGCCATCAAAATTAAGAAATTTTTAAATATTTTCAATATGGTTTGTCTTAGAAAGATAAAATTTTGCAAATGTTATCATGAGAAATCATTTAAGATCACTTTTGAAAATATGCAAACACAGGATCAATGCAATACACAAAAGTTCACAAAAGTTATTTCCTTAAAACTTTTTTATTAAGTCATAAACCATTCAATTTTCCAACATGATTCTAAAAGCCTTTTTCATTTTGAAATTATTTTTACTCTTACTAATTTTTGATTAGACGCATCGTTTTTGAGTTATTCACAAAAACATTTAAGTGCGTTGAAAGGAAATCTGTCAAATTATTACTCAATGTAGCATGAAATCTGGATTTTCTTCAGTACAATCATGCTTCAGCATTTCTCAAATTAATGATTATCTGTAAAAAGTACTTTTTTCTATCATAGTGTGGTAACACTGTATTTGCAACGGATGATCAGCAATTTTAAACTCTTGTATCCTCTATTAAAATCCAGATTCCCGTTATTTACATAGTTCTGTCTTACATAAACATCATTCAATATTTAGAAATGTTTTTCTATCAGGTTGTCTCTACTTACAATTTGTTTGTAATGGAAACATTATAAAATCGAGGTTATATCTTTTTGCAAATATCTCGAAAACGTAATTTTAAAATGAAATAGGCTTCTAGAATCGTGGTTTATGACATAATAAAAAAGTTTTGAAGAAATAACCTTCGTGGACACCTGTATAGCATTGATCCCGTGGTTCGATATTTCCAATGGTGATCTTAAACGATTTCTTATGATAACATTGCACTGCTTGCCAAATTTAGTCTTTCTAATTGTAAGACAAACCATATTGAAAATATTTAAGAAAATGTTTGAATATTTCTTAACTTTGAAGGCCCATATCTTAGACATTTATGGGTTTAGATCAAACATTTTTACACGAATCGTCATCATTTTCAATCTAGTATTTGCGATTAAAATTATGCCGTGATTTACAGAAACACCTGTATATTCCATAAAGCCATTCTTATCGTTAGTTTATTAGTCTGGTGTGAATAATTTTGTTCACCACTGTATAAATGTTTCTTATTGTTTTGGCTTACAACTGTCAAAATGATTCTGCGTAGAATTTTTTATTCTCTTTCTGTTACCGTAAATGTAAATTAAAATCTCCTTTTTCATTTCACCAATATTTATTTATTTTTCAATTTTCAAATAACGTACTGTGAGTTTTTAAAACTTTTATTTTTAAAGCTAATAACAAATCAGCGCCATCTATCATTAATTTTTCTAGTTATTTCATGTCAACATCATGTAAAATTGTTAGGTTATGTTGGATAAAAACAATAATTTGTAAAAATTAAGAAATACTTTTTTGAGAAATTAAAAATAAATATCTTTTTTTAGAAAATGAACCATTGGAAATGTTATTGGTAAAATAGTTGGCAGAAGTAGTCAGATCTAAGAGTTTGTACTTATACTTAACAGGAATCATCAAGAGAAATATTTTTGAGAATTCAGAAACATTTAAATGCTTTGAAGAGATGTTTAGAAAATCAAAACGAATTGAAAAATAATTTGCTGTTATAGAAATAATAAAATAAAGCTGTTTTAGATGGAGTAAAAGATGTGATCAGTTGGAACCTGATACGATTTTGATTAAACCTTTAATACGATTTTGAAGCATATTAACTTTCTTTGTGTAAATTTACATATTTAAATACGAAGCATATGTAAATTATTTCAAATAGAAGCTGGTAAGGTTGAATAATTGATAAAAAAAAGTGTGATCTAATATGGTAATTCCTTTTTAGTGTTAATTTTACATGATGCCCTGAACAAGGGGTCCTTAAGGTTCACATTTAATGAAAATTTGGATTCACTAATATTTATTTTGCTTTTTAGGGTCTAGATACTAACCAGAAAGAGATAATTAAATTACTAAAATAAAGTATTGCTTGATTTGTTGCTGATTTCCTAAAAAACTTGGTATAACTCAAATAAAAAAAACACGATTATCTGATGCACCAGTCTCTAATTATTTATCAATTTATTAATGACAATAAAGATAAAGTAATGGCAATATATCGCAATAAGATGATTTGAATAAATAATCATCAGTAGTAATCATTTATGATAAGGCTTTTACTCAATTTCTTTAATTTCAATTTAAATAATTAAATGTATAACACATAAACAACATACAATACTTACTGTAGTAAATAAGCAGCTAAACCAAAATTTTTTTTTTTTTTTGAAGATAATATCACAAAAGTTTTGCAAAATTATCAGAAGATTAATACAAATGCTCCTAAAACAATAAATAAACCTTAAAATTCAGAAAAGTTAAGTTAAAGCCTAATTCCCGCGTAAATAAACGAAATGAGGTTATGTTTTCTAAAATAACTCACCAATTGATAAATTAATGTTCACAATATGCACACGAAGCTCTCATCGAATAAATTAATAAGTTTTAAGCTTCCAATAGGTATTCTCGGCCATCTTAACGTCTATTCTGTATTGCCATAACAGAATCAACATAACCTATCACAAATTTCTTCGATATACCGTACTCGTGGTTTAAGAGGACCTGCTATTATAAGAAAAATTTAACGGTTACCAATCGGTTTATATTGAGCGCTCTATATCCCGGCAACTCCCTTACTTTTAAATGGATGTAACCACAGCGCATGCGCGAACTTTCACATTGAAATTTATATTATTTTTAAATTTACATTTATATTTTTCACAATTTTCCTGTAAACATTTTCAGTTTTAAATGTATGTTCTTATTTTATAATTTTTGCAATAATAAATTAAAAAAGCGATTCGATTTTCGGTTTAGACCTTTAAAAGCCCTGACGTCTATTTGACGTACACATGGTGTGTTGCTAGGTAACAAGTTTGTTTGTAAACAAATCCCTTTAATTATTTTATGACAATCAGTAGGTGACACTGAAAAGTATCACTTCCGGTTGTGTTTCTATGTGATGGCAGAAGTTCATATTGTTGGTGAAATATCGCACGCAAAAGAATTTCCAAAACAAGAACTTTTCTGCCGTTGGAAATTACATTGTGGTAAGAAAAATAAATTCAAATTTTTAACTAAATTTTAAATAAACTTTAATTTTATTGATTTTTTCGTATTTCCCTAATATTTCCAGGTAATAATTGGAAAGTGATTTCTGGCAAACAAGAAGGTCAAACTCAGGTGATAAGTTCAGAATTTGATGATAAATGTAAATGGGCTTATCCTCTTGATATACATTTAACAACAACTGGAATTCCAGGTTGGCCTAAAATTTACGTTCAAGTTTATCATTTGGATTGGTTAAATAGAAGTCATTTGTACGGATACGGTTTCGTTTGTATCCCTACAAGTCCTGGGTCGCACGTGCTAAATTGTTACACGTGGCGACCGTTAGGATCGATACGCGAACGATTCATACAATATTTTCTCGGTGGTGGTCCTCAATTAAAATACCCCGACTTGATTTTATCGTCAAACGATCGTTATAAATTAAATACCGAGGCTATGGGAGTAGTTTCTTTTGAAGTTAATATTGTTTTAAGAAATTTTAATAAATTTGGAGTTGAATACGAATAATTTAAATATGGAGAAAATTGTTTTCTTCGGATTCGTGCTTTTTGGCATCGTATTTAAAGTATTTTCCGGAACAAGTACTACAAATACTGAAAGTACAACTGAAATCATTACTTCAGAAATAACGAATGATTATGAAAATGATAACGTAACTTTAGAATTTGGTATAGATGATAATAGCACTTGTGATGAAAATTGTACCACTTTAACAACAGTTAAAACGGGTTCATCGCCGACTAAAGCACCAACTACTATTAAACCAAACGTTAAAGTACCAAAGATTTCTTTATCGTCGTCAACTAAAACTTGCTTTTGCAATATTCAGGTTTGTTAAAAAAAATTTGAAGAAGCATCAATAAATATGATTATTTTTAGGAGAAAGTTTGTGATATAAACTGTTGTTGCGATAAAGATTGTAATTATGATATGAGGCAAGTTTTTGGGAAATGTGACGATGATCTTAATAGAGTTTACGACACCTCCTTTTGTGAATATACTAAGTATATTTACAAAAATAACACGCCGTTTGAATGGACTGTCAATCAAAATGGATTTTTTTGCGTGGCTAAGACTAATTTACCACGACAGTATTATATTCATAAAGACATTGTAATTATTTCTATGTGAGTTGATTCAAAAGTAGATGGCAAAATCATGAGTTCATTTTAAGATAAAGTAATTAATGCTATTTTGGTATCAACATAAAATGAGTTTCCAATAATATTTCCAAAATCATGCAAAAATAATCTCGAAACTAACTGAGTGGTTTAAGAGTGGTTCTGTAACAAAAATGCAATACAGAAAATTTTTAGTCATTAAGTATAGAATCTAATCATTTTCGTCATGCGCACTGTGAATGGAATAATCATTGAACGAGGTGTTCAAGGACGCTGGAAGGTTTTTGAAATAAGTGTGATGGGTTGGAGGAGTTTTTTTACTGTAAATTGAACCAGTTAACAGGCTACCCATTTATGTTTTTCCTGTTAGTTAAAAAGTTTCCCAAACTTTTGATACATAGAAATTCATAACTAGATATTGAAAACGTTTTGAAATGTGACTTCTTCCTTACCGATTTTATGATCTGAATCCAGCACTTTGGCGCCACATTTAACATCACTCGCCATGAATGAATGTCCAGACACTGAGAATTTGAAATCTATTCTGGTGAGGAGTCTGGACAAGTTTTAGAATACATTTTAATGCATTCTACAAAATAAAATAGTGTGCGTTTTGTTTTCTCTTAAGTAGTGGTAAAAGTGAAAAAAGTGAAACCATTGAAGCACTGAATACTGTAATTCTATGCATCCAAATTTGAAAGAAGTGCAAAGAAAAATGCAAATGTAAATTTCAGTAGAGGTTGAGTTATAGACTGTAAGGATAGTCCTTGCTTGTTCTGAGCAGGCTACATGGAGTTACTCTTGCACGTTTATGGCCTTTCTTTTCCTTAGATCCTGTTCACTCTTATTGTATGCATGAAATTATGACATAACATACAAGTATCTATAGAAGGATAACAATATTTGTTTCTTAACAAGCTGTTTTTGTTCCTGCATATTTTTCAAGATTGATCAAAGATCATACATTTTTTGTTTGATGTTACATTGGCTTTGAAATAGAAACGTCCTCTTTTTTGTCCTCTTTTAATCACATCTACAAACTCCAACCATTTAATTTGCAATATTCCTATGAAATATGTTTTGCATACTTTCGTATTGTTCTCACCTTGTTCCACTGTAAGTTTGTTACCATATTTTGAATTGGGATCCCATTGATTTCGAGCATACAAAGAACATATTTTGGAATAATCTGCCAAATTTACTTTGGCAGTGGCAGTTTAAATATCTTTTCATTCCTTAAAATATTATTTGTAGTGGTAAAAGATTTATAAGTGTTTCTATTTTGCTTCCGTTTATTCTGTGTCTAAATGTCTTCATTGGTTGTCCTTATCCTACCAAATTGTTGTTTTAAATCTTAATCTTGGTCTGGAATTAGGATTAGATATTTATTATGCACAGTAATATAGCATAATGTGTGGTTTCAATTGACATAAACCTTTCGATAATTTGTGGTCTTGACAATGGTTTTCAATTGGTCTGGGCCAAAAAGTATTTGATGAAGTTGGCAATTATAAAATTATAAAATTTTGTCACCTACTCTTGAATCACATTTTTTTAAAAAGCTTTTGTCTATACATAAAATCTTTTAGACATTAAATAATCTTAAAGAAGCATCACTAGCAAAACAAAATAAATTTGATTGGGCAGAAAAAGATTCATCAACAACTCCAGAAATAGATCCGCAACAAGGTTTTATGTATGGAAAACCTGCTTATTTGGTAAAAAATAATTTAATTATTCCTTGGGGTATGCAATCTGAGTGAATCATTTTTAAATTGTTGTTTACATTTGTCGTTTTTAGTAATTCCAGACACTTTACATACAGATTCTTGCTCAACCACAAAAACAATAAATTTACTTGAAGATGTAGAAACAAAATGTACTCAATATGAAATAAACAATAATAACAAAAAGCTGGATCTTCATAGTTATATTGAAAATATTACAGTATTAACTTCATCATCTGACTCGAAATATTTTAATCAAAAAAGACTGACTTTATTGCAGGTAAGAAACAGAAATGTCTAAAATAATTTGTTCTTAACTTTATTACTTTTTAACAGCATTGTCCAAAGGAAATTTGCAAAAACTTCGATGTCTTATTATGCAACGAATTTTTACAAAACTGTTCAAAACTAAGTCAAAACGTTTCCAAAGCACATCATTGCCAAGGATATTCTTTTAATTTTTCTTGTAAAAATTTATTACAAAAACTGCAATATAATATTTACCATAATGGAACACAGGGAATTAAAAAAGTTGACCTATTAGTTCATTTAATGAACTTATCTTACCCTTCAATCCATACTGTCATTCAACACTTTAAAGTCAAATTCTTCTGGGTAAACCAAAACATAAACATTACTTCTCAACGTAGCGGAAACCCTGGATATATTTTTAAAAAACCCATCATCACAGCGAATTTAGTACAACACAAATTTGTAATTTCAAAAAAACCGTTAAATATTTCAACAAACGCAACGATTGAGAGAAATCATTCAAAAATCAACGAAATTGTTTTAGCACTTCCCAAAAATCAAAACGGAAAATGTATTTTAACGAACCATATTAATAATCAAATTCAATTTGGAATAAATAATTTAATAAATTGCGAACTCCGCGAATTAATAACAACAAAAAATAAAAAACTAAATAAAGATTTATGCCTAAACGTGCAAGAATTAATTTCGACTTTCTGGTCTATTGAATTAAATAACTCCACGAATAAATTATTTGGCAAATACGGAAACGCAAACATTACCAATATAAAAGATTGGAGTAATGTTTCGTATACTTTAACTCCTGAAAGTATGCTAAAACGTGTAAATAGCGTGCCATCGGGTAATAAATCTCGTTTAAACTGCATCAACCTCTGCACCAAGTTAAAAATAGACGTTTTTCATGCGCGATCAATCGTTGAAGACCTTCACGATCAAGTACAAATCGTTTGGATCACGTACTCATTTGGTAATTGTAGGAATTACACTTTTCTAATCGAGGACGATCAAATTTCAATTAACATCCGATTACGTTTCGAGGTAATGTTTTATGATATTACTACAGAAAAATTAAAAAAATATGTTGAACCACCTTCCTTGAAAATTAGATTACCCTACGATTTCTTTTATCCATTTGTTAAAATCGATAATGGGGGTAATTTAATTAAAAACTCAATTGTATTAATTATTACTTTGGTGTTAATTTTAATCAATTAAGTTTAAAAGATAAAATAAAACTTTGTGTAGAATGAAAAAATGTTTATTGGGTTTATTAATTAAACGTAAATTGATTTTATAAAAGGAGTCTTCTTCGATTTGTTTCCATAGCGTGCCTTTTTCCTTACCATTTTTTAGGCCATACCTTGCCTAAAAACACTGAGATTGTTCTCTTCACTAAACAGAGGAAATTGGGACATTTAACACCACCCCGTTTCTTCTGCAACAGTCTATTAACCTTTGCTCTAAGCTCTAGAGGTGAAATATCTTGGTGTTATCTTGGACAAAGGACTGACTTGAAAATCACAAATTAGTTGCAAAACCAAAAAAGCAACGATTGTTACTCACCCAGTGTCGAAGGGCAGTTGAGAATACTTGGGGATTAAATACGAGGGTTACAATGTGGATCTACACGTCTGTCATGTGGAGCTCACGGAGCTATAGTTTGGGGCTAAGCACTGAAACATGCCTATAAAGCTAAATTGCTGCATCAATTGCAACGAGTGGCCTGATATTTTTATCAGGGAGGTGGCCATGATGGCATTGCTTCGAACTCTGGAGTGAGGCTGTTCGTAAACAACTCCTCCTTGAAGCTTGCACAGATTACATAACACCTACTTTCTTAAACACGCCACACTTTGGCATTGAAACGATACCCCAAAGCAACTTAAGCACGGGCAAAACGCAGACCATCTACACTGATGGATCAAAGAACGCTGGGAGGCTCCGGAGTTCGAATTTTCTCGCACGATCTCGCGCTATACCTTTCCACTTCGCTAGGGACTATAGCAGCCAATGTAATCATCGACTCCGAAAAAGTTGGAAGAAACGTTGTAATCTGCACAGATAGCAAACAGGCTACGCTGGCGGTTAGCAGGCATCGAACTACATCATCGTTAGCAATTTAAAAAAATTTTATATTTATCGGAAATTGTCCTATGCTACCCCCAATACTTTCTGGAAAACCATCCGTTCTCTTGGTGTAGTTAAATCTCCTTCTTACCATGGTAGTTTTGATTGTGATTCTCTGACTAGTTATTTTGCCGAATCTCCTATCACTCTCGACTATTCAATTAAGGTATCAACAATTCTCCCCATTAATGCCTCCGCTAAAATCAATTCCAAATTTTCCTTGGAGTTGTTCGACGAATTCCAAGTCCGCCAGGCACTCAGACATTCTCGGTTCAGTAGTGTTGGTGCTGATGGTGTTCGCATTAAGCAGCTCCTTCCTATATTGGATATAATCATTCCTCCACTACTCCACATATTTAACTTCTCCATTGAGACATCGTCCTTCGCTTCTATTTGGAAACTAGCTTATGTTGTACCCATACCTAAACTTAAGTGCCCTACTCGTCTAAGTGATTTTCGTCCTATTTCTATTATTTCTGTAATTTCTAAAGCAATTGAGCGCTTGGTGTATATGCAGGCACAGCGGTATTTTGATGAGCAATCTGTGCTCACTGATTTTCAATCTGGTTTCTGTTCCAATCATACCTTTCTAATCGTTCCTTGTGTGTACGTGACTCCTTATCTTCCTCATCTGTATTTATAAGCCGTTGCGGTGTGCAGTGATATTGGGTCCACTTCTCTTTTCTTTCTTCATAAATTGCATTACTAAGATAATTAAGTGCAACTTTCAGCTATATGCAGACGACCTCCAAACTTATACATCTGCAACTGTGGATGAACTTCCAGCAGCGCTAATGCGGCTTAATAGGGATCTTGCTAGTGTTATAGACTGGTCTAGATGCTATGGCTTGAGTTTGAATATAGCAAAGACTCGAGCTATTGCTTTGGGCCTTTGCTAGCAAAATTTTACTCGATCAATAATACCCATCTGACACTTGATGGTAACTTCATACAATTCTCTCAAACAGTTAAAAACTTGGGAGTAATGATAGGTTTTGCATTGTCCTGGCAGCCCCAGATTCAGTCGGTCTGTAGGAAGATTTATTTCTGATTTTATTCCCTACGCAAACTTGGTTTTTTTCTTCCACCTATTGTTCGTCGCAACCTATGTTACTCTTTAATTCTCCCCCATTTGGACTATATTGATGCCGTGTACCCAAACCTCTCGATTAGTTTCCATAACAAATTAAAGAGGTTACAAAATAATTATATTTTCTATATTTCTAATGGATCTGATGATGGCGTAAGCCGAAACCGGTTAGACAATAAATTGAAAAAGACCAGAAAAAGTATTGCTTTTTATTGAATTTATATTATATAAAAAATAACTGGTCAACATGGATCAAACTCCCTCATCTAATTACAAAATAATTGTCTGCGCTTTATTTTTGACCTGAGAAAGTATGACCATGGTACACCATACCGTAATCATCTCGAGATGCTCATCGTTGAGAAGCGTAGATTCTTTCGCATATTAACTATCAACATACAATCATTGAAAATCTTAAAAGTTTCCAAGTTGTATATTTCAAAGAAGACTTCAACAAGATATCAACTGTGCTATATTTTTGGAAAGGAAATTTTATGCTCTCGTCCAATTTGTAAAAATATATAGGGCGTTCCATTAAAAAAATCATTTTTATGTCAATAACTAGTAAAATATTGCTTTGCGGGAAAGCTAACTTATACCATCGAATTTCATCACTTTTTTGAAAAATATCCTGTATCTCTGAAATCGTAAAAGATATCGATATTCGGTTTTCGCCATTAAGTTTCTTATAAAAATCGAGCCTCAGACACTGATATCATTTTTCCTTTATCTCTTATAGAAATAGGAGTTTCCCGTTAAAAGTGCCTAATTTGGCCCACCTGTACATACCTGTACACATATAACACTGTGGAATAATTTACCCATAAAATTGCGTAATGCTCGTAGCTTTTCCATATTCAAAGGTTCGCTAAGATATCACCTGTTGTCTCTACAGTTATCTGAGGCTGATTTTTGATGTCTGCTTTATCTGGTTCTTCTCTTTTCCATCTTCAGCTGACAGCTTTATTTGCTCTTTTCCAATCATTTTTTGCTTAATCCGATTTTCTTTATTCCTTGTTCTCTCCTATTCTTTTTCTGTTACTTGACGCCTCTGGCGATAAATTGACCTTTTGTCAACCATGTATTAATGTTATAGAATAATGTATATTTTTCTGTTATTATTGTAAATCTTGGTGGCAATAAAGTTAAGTATTATTATTATTAAGTGGCACACCTTGACCCCAAATATTGGATATAAAGAATATACCCTTCTGTTCTATATTACGGTTCATTAATACCACGGGCTGGTTTTCTGACCCTTGATTGTACTGTAAAATGTGGGAATGTACAAAGGGCCCTAAATGCTGTGAAGGAATTCACCCCCACAATATTTTAATGAATTAAATTTAATAGATAAAATAAAACTTTGTGTACAATGAAAACTTGTTTATTGAATTTATTAATTAAACATAAATTAATTTTATAAAAAGAATCTTCTTCGACTTGTTTCCATACCATGCCTTTTCCCCTGAATAATCCAATGATATTGTCCATATTTACTATCAAATGTACCTTTTTGTAAAGATTTTAATTTTAAAGTAAACCTTGGACCTAATTCTTTTAAACTGGTTTTTTTCCCATCTTCATTAAATGTATACCTGAAATAACACATAATAAAAATATAATTTTTCCTTAAAATAAAATCATTTTACTTGTAATGTCTAAAAAAGACATAATCCCTTTGATTATGAAAAGCAACAGCTCGTCTTCCAACAAATTCAGCATCATAATGAAATAAGGCCCCTAACATTCTACCAATAGTGTGCCCTAATCTTGTTGAAAAATTATTAATAATAACTTCTGGTCGATGTATAGTAATATCTTTATGACTTTTCTTTAAATCTTTAGTTATTTTAACATTGCTTAATCGAAAATGAGCTGTTGGGCCATCAGGTAAATGAATTAAAAGTAAACCATCCGGTTCTTTTTTATGTTCATTAATAATCAAAATGTCTGTATAATTCTCTCTTAATGCGCTTTTAACAATTTTCTTCACCCCAGAACGATTTCTATACCTTGAAATCGAATTAGGAATAATTCTCGTTAATTCACGCCCAAATATTCTTGTCTTTTGCATGGGATTATCGCAAAATGTGATTAAAACTTTCGGTTCATATGAGTGTTTATAATAATCGCTAAATTCGTCATTTTCTAAATCAACACGGACTACTTCATTGGAATCATCGTTTAAATCACCAACTACGGTTTCATCTTTTTCTCGTAAACTTTCTAAAGTGTGAGGGATTCCTTTTGGTGCTCCTTCTTCTTTGCGTTGTTTTTTAATTGCTTTCTTTTCCTAAATTAAAATAAAATAATAATTTGGTAAAGTAATTTAAACATAACCTTACTTTGCTTGCTTCCTTTTTCATCTTTTGAAATCGAACGTTTCGAACCATTTTATTCCGAATATGTCCATATTTATTATTGTTGGGAAATAAAACATCTCCACTCGTAGAAGGTTTAATATCTTTAACTTCCTCTTCTTTGATATTTTCATCCATTTTTAAGAACTGAAAATGCCGCTAAACCACGTGGTAAGAAACGTCAATTTCATTAATTTTTTTTAAATTAAGGTGGCGCTACTTTTTTTTAATTTTAAAACAAAAATTTTTTTTAATTATTTTTATTGTTTATTATATTTATTATGATGATTGTTTTTATAGAAATTAAGAAATTATTTTAAATTATTATAAGTAGGCAACCAAATTAACATAAAATACCTGTTAACACCTGGTTCTTGGGTGAACCAAAAGGTGGCACAAGGTGTACGACGTTTAAAATAAGTCAACATGGCGACAGATACCTTTTAAGATTTTCAAGAATTGTTTAATAATGTCAATTATTAATATAACATTAGCATAAATTTAGGTGTCACGTGCGGTTTATGGTCGCGAGTTTTTAAACGAACCCCGTATTAGATTCGCCGTTATTCAACAAAGTTGTGTACTGCCACTTCTTGGACATAAGTTTTCCATGGACTTTGCGTTTAAAGAAAAATTTTACATTCCCGATAATCTCTTTCCGCAGAAAACAGAAAATTCTCCTGGAATAATTGATCGGAAGTTTTTATGTAAGTTGAAAAGAAATTGTAGGGGTGCAAGATAATTAATGGAATTAAAAGTGGTTGGGTTAGTTGTTTGAAGTTTTAAGAAATTTGAGGGGTTTTCTTAGAAAAATACAGGTAGTTTTCTTAAAGAAACATTATTAGATTTCTTTTATGAGCCGTGTTCAAGAAAGTTTTAAGTAAATAGATCAAATTTATCTTTTCTATCGACTTTGACAGATGTTGTAAATAACAGGAGAACAATCTTGTAAAGAAAGTTTTTTATTGAGGCTTCTTTAAACAAGAGGTTTACTCTTTAAGCTGGTCCATTGTAGTTTATATCCGATTTACCTGCGTGCTTCTCCTGCAGCAGGTGCAATAATAACTTGTTTTCTCACTAAATAGAAATACTTAGTAATAAGTGAGTATTGATTGTTAATTATACTATCATGTTTACGGCCTATTTAGCAGTTCGACATGAAATCTTGATGAATATAATAGAACGTAATTATTAAATTATTATTAAATGGAAATAATAGAATAAAATTGAATCAAATTTATATGAAATGTCAAAGTGACAGATGAAACGTCAAATTAATACAAGTAATAAGTGTCAAGTTATCAATTGTTTTTAATAAGGACTTATGAAAATAAAAATGTTAAATTTTTACAGTTCCTATGAAGTACGAAGGAAGTTAGTATTCATTTCATGCAAAACGAATTTTTTACTAACGGTTTCAATTGATGTCCATAAAATAAAACACACAAAAAGTAAAGACACAAATTTGTTAATAACCTCAACTACCGGGAAATATTTAACATACTGTGCATTATGCGTATAAATTACGTTTTTATTAAACGACTGATCTCACCGCCTTTCGTTTTTACTCCCTCTCAAATATAAAGTAAACGGATAGTATTGGAATCGTGCAAAAATTTGTGATAAATTTTGTGATATACCCTGTATATAGAAGGGTAGGTTGAAAGTACAAATAGGGTCAAAACGTGCCCTATTATGAGTTAAACATATTTCCCAAATTTCATTTTCCTAGCGTTTATGGTTTTTGAGAAAAACAAATTAAACCAAAATTTTCCGCCATTTTTGGAGAGGTGTAGCTCCTTAGGGGAGCCGAAGTCGCCCATGGTGCATATATCAAAGTACCCTTAAAATTGCCTAAAGAATCACCCCCGGAAGTTTGGGCACGTCATTCAGATACACCCCTGTATATGATTTGAGGCTTCCAATTCTACTTTTTTGGCATTGTTTGTGTTTGCGTGTTTTGAAATTGCCGGTTTTTTTAATTGTATACTCCACCATGTAGCGATCCAGTCTATTAGTGTACAACCATACAAAAATGCAACAAAATTGAGTACTGTTTAATTTTAAATGATGTTACCCAACATATACAAGATGAATCGTAACTATTGCTGATTAACTAAATCAAGTTTTGCCTGATTAAGCTGAGGTCACTTGCGGGTGAGGATCTACAATTAATGCCATATCAATCCAAAACTGGTCAACTCATTGCAATACCTCGGGCGCAAACGACCTCACTTAAAGTTGTGATGGAGAGATTTTATCCGATTAAGCCGAGGTCGCTTGCGGGCGAGACTCTACAATTAATACCATATCAACCCAATACTGGTCAACTCATTGCAATTCCTCGGACACAAACGACCTCAGCTAGACTTATGATTTATGATGGAGAGTGCAGGATTTTATCTGATCAAGCCGAGGTCGCTTACAGCCAAGGCTTTGAATTGTAGAATTAATACTATATCAAACCAAAACTGGTCAACTCATTCCAATAGCTCGACCGCAAGCGACCTCAGCAAAACTTATGATGGACAATGTTTGATCTTGTCTAATTAAGCCGAGGTTGCTTGTAATCGAGGCTCCACGATTAATACCATCTCGACCCAAAACTGATTTTGGATCAACCCATTTTAACGCTTCTGTCCCAAACGACCTCGGCTAAAATTATGATTGCGAATGTGATTTCTTCTTCCAAGCCCTACTGTAGTAGAGTGGGTACGATATCGTCAGGCCCAGCATTTGCACAAATTTTGTTCTTGGTACAAATTTTCTTAGTTAACACCTGTTAATCTGGGGTCTCGCTGAATAGCTGTAGAGTTTTCGTTACATGCTTCATTAGAAGGTGTAAGATTTCGAGAAAGTTATCATTATAATAACTGGTATTCTTTAGAAAGCCGGCTCGTCGTCCGGGTTTAAAACCACAACACTTCTACCGGAAGTGACTTCTTCATAAAACCTTCTTCAAGAATCTCTCAATTTCTACATATTTTTTTTTTAACTTTAAAGGTTGGTTTTTATAGCAGATCCAGTTGAAATCTAACCTAGTATCCTGACTGTTTTTGATAGCTGCAACCAGTCAGAGTGTACAGACCTTTTTATATAAAGTTAATTAGGTAAAAGTGACTTCTTTCAAACAATCAGATAGATAGTACTGATTGGGCGTTGGACTTGGACTTATTCATATAAGTATTCTTGTTGCACTTTGTTCAAGTTGCATTTGCGATTTTCCCAATCCCTTCAGTACATAGATCAAAAATCATCCACCTGTGTCCTAACACTGAAACCACTTTGGCGACCTTCTAATTGTGGATTGCCTAGGGGATAGCTATCGAGGCTACAGTAATATCAGTAACTGATTGATGATTTACCCCTGGCAGTATCAAAGGTTGGCTCTGAGCCCTGATTAAGTAAATCAAGATTAGTGCTGAAAGCGAACTAAGTAAAATACCAAGTACCTATACCTATACTATGTGTTGCTATATTTACATTCTATACTATAAGTAAGTTTTAGTCGGCTTTTTCAAAAAACACTTTTATCAAAGCAATTTTCTAAGACTTATAGAGTTATTTCTCGTTGTTTGATAAAATTGTTAACATTTCTAAACAACAATATTTATTGAACACTCTCTACAACATAATTTTTGTAATTGTAAATTTAAGTTATCGTGACTGATTGTAAGTTTTGATAGATCCTTGTTGTTTTGATCTTATAAAATTCTAAATGATGTTCGGTTTTGGTGAACGTTTTCTTTAATCTTCCGATTGTTCACGTTATAACGACAGATGCCCAGCACCGGCCCATGAAACCGCAACAAGTTGGTGCGGCGAACGCGTCTTGGTTTTGGTCTGGCGCCGTGGAGCCCTTTGTTTCGGACTAATCGACCACGTAAACAGGGAACTTTTTCGACCGTGGCCTACCGTCGTCGCACACTTTTCGTGTCGCCGCAGATTGTAACGCCCTCGAATACAGAAACTAGACGTTTTACCTAAAGTCGAAACGAGTTTGTGTTTCCCAGAAGAATAAATCCATTATTTTGTCGCGAATGAATTTATTAAATTTGTGTTACCCGTCCGCTTATTGTCGAAGGAGTCGTTTGTCACCTTTTACGGCATTCCACTTTGAGTTAGCGCCTGTTTAACTGTTGTATTTTCACTCGCGGTCAATAAAAATATTAATAGTTGACGTGTTGTAATGAAACCCTCCTAAATGGTACTGTGCGCCTCAACCACATGAAGTGATACCGCTTCTGTTTATGGCTTCTGCGAAATGTCAACGTTCTTTCCCAGCTCCGCTTAGAATGGTATATAACAATTTTAATTGTTGAGTATTTAATTGCAGAATAGCCCTCATCTTTTGTTGACGATGTGCAGCCGACATGGGAAAACCTTTAATTTGTTACCAAATAACCGAGGCAAATGTTAGTGAAGAGAAAGTTGAGTGTTTATTCAGTAGTTTCAGCGCAATATATGAATTATCAAAATTATTATACCCACTACTTATTGTATAGGTAATATGCATTTGGTAAAGTAAATCTTTATGCATGGAATTACTCATGGTTGATATTAAATTTTAATTTTGTAATTTGTTGCAGATATTAGGTAAAACTATTAACATTATAATTAATGATTAATAATGATTGAAATCGCCTACGAACTTCAACATATCCTGTTGCAATTAATATCCTTTAGGTGAAATAAACCGTACAGAATAAAACGTAAGGGTGCGTCCGCCGACACTGTTAAAGGTTTTGTTGCTTTTCCAACAAGTCAGTCGGTTTAAAGTCATCTACCGCGCCCTGATAGATATTTGCTTGGTACAAAATCTTTTCCACATGCAACTAGGTGTACAACGAAGGTCAAGTTCTTTTGCCCTGCGAGACGGCGCGGCGTGCCGTATCCTTGTCATCAAAAGGCACAGAATAATAATAGTTTACTCGCTGGGAGCGCCATTTTAATGGGGGAGGTTGCCTTACTTATGGATTAGAGCACACGCGATACCTGGCTGGATATAAAATTTATGGGCAGAGCAACGAGTGTTGTGGCTACGGCGGTTCCGTGCTTCCTTGAGAGCTCGGCATGCTTTGTGATTATTATTCGATTATGTAATTGCACGGTAATGATTGCACTGAAACCGTAAATTTATAGGAGATTCGAAGAATTGCGTCTTCGAGTCGACGCA